TTTATCGATAAACACTTCTATCCCGCTCCTTAGGTTCTCCTCGAGTTAACAAAGAGACGAAGAGTTTTATAATATTTTCAAACTCGGATTTTTCTTTCCCCCCGAAGAACAGGTATATTTCCTGAAATTGAACGACGTTCGAGAGAATTAAGAAGGGAAGTTGAGTGAGTTCGAAAACAATAGTTTTAGTCATTTTAATGGAAAATACGGAAGACTTTTGATTAGTGAGTTGAATGTATTTAAGCGTATATATGAAGGAGAAATTACTTCTTTAATTACTATTGTACTCGGAAAACAGATTTAACAATGAAACGAGTTGAAAGAAAATATGCCAACTAATATTTTAAGATTTAGTAAATATTTTAAAATACACGAAATCGCTTTGTATTGTAAGTTAAAGTAATTATTAGTATATTTACTGTTTTTTGCAGTAATTGGAACTTAATAATAATATTTACTATTTCGGGTCGTGGTTTGTTAAATTTCTCTAGAAAGTTGTAAATATTTTTATGACAACTCAGCGATAACAAGCGAAGTCAAAAGTCGAGAAGGCCCATCTCATTTGAAATTTGTTTTCTAGTATCAATATTTTGGTAAGTACGACTTTCCAAAATCGCAAACTGGAAATGGTAAGAGAACGACCCTTAGGTACAGACCAAAAAAAGTATGAAAAAAATAAGAAGGAGCTACTTACAACTAGTGGGGACGAGCTTAGGCCTCTACACGAAAAAAAAATGAATTGAGCTATCTGGTGCTGCAAGAAAAAGGTTTAAATACCTTAATAAGAAAGGACTGATTCAGGAAAAAGCTCGAAAGAAAGCAGTCGAGCTCATAAAGAAGACATATCTGGAAAAAGGTCACAATAGAGTACGTTCCGAAGAGAACACTAAACACTAATCACTAAAGGCTAAAAAGCCAAAAATTAAAAAGTGATGTAGATAACGACAACACTGTGTCTATATCTCTAAAACCCTCCTTTAGTCAAATCCCTGAAGTAGGAATTCTCACCTTGGAGTGTCCACGTCATCTCTTTACAACGGAACACAATTAACAGCCGTTAAGGAGATGATCCTAAATAATATTCTAGAGCACCAAAAAAAAATCGAAGAGCCTAACTTTTTGAGCGCTTAAAACAGACGTGCCTGGCTAGCTCTGATGTGTGCCGTAAAGCCACTTGCAATGGCTAAAGAAATATTAAAGAGATACAGCCATGAGAGTTTGCTACACTGAGACTTGTAGATAGAGCAGAAATTCCACACAGTGAACTCTTTACGGGCTTAGCTTCTCGGAAGTGAAGATTATTTAACGGAAAAAAATGTAAACGTAGTAAAGGCTTGAAAATTCTCTGTCTCCATAGCTCTGCTGAATCAACATTTGCAGCTGGCAATCTATTTATCAGCGGATATTTCCAGAATTGACAGTTTTATGCAAAGATCACTAATACTGTTTTGTACTAATAATAATTTATTTTCATATTTTGTAACTTTAATTATAAATGAAGACCACAAGAAAATAACTTAATAAGGCACATTTTTGGTTTTGTTCAGCAGAATATTTAAAACTCTGTGATTATATTAAAATACATCTTACAATTAATCAGCAACAAAAAGAAATGAAATTAAATGTTACTGGTATTAATCGTTTTTATTTCTATACATGTACTTAATAAGTTTTTCCCCTGTAAAGAACTACTTTCAGGGTTGTTCCCTACAAAATATTTAAATCTCTAATTTTGACAACAAATAAAACACAGAAAATAGAAAAAACTATGTCATAAAAAACATTTTACAATTTACTTCTAGTTTTCCAGTTATTGACAGTACCCTGTACGTCTTCTTGTAGTCACATACTTTTGACTATGCGCTATATATAATATATATAATATATATATATATAATAAATATATTATATATATATAATATATATATATATAGTATATATAACGCGATAGACTCGTGCCTATAAGTAAATGTTACCCTTTATATACGTTTACTCATATCTATCAGTGGACATTACAGACTTTGACGATACCCTATTGTCTTGTTTTTTCCATATAGTTTCATTGTAAACATAAAATTCAATCGTTTGATACCTCATAAGACACGATCAAATAAAAATACGCCACATTACTTTTTTGACACGACTTTTTTATGTTTTTTTAATAATCTTCTTCCCTCCTTACCCTTCTCATCGATACCTCATACTTCATGATCTGTCTAGTTATTTCTGAGCTGTACGACTTTGCGATCAATTTGCTATTTTGGACTTTAGATTTTCTTATGGAAATTGACATGAGGAAAATAATAAATTTTGTACTCGAAGCGAGGTTGTTACCCTTCTTGGAGTTTTTCCCATGAGCACAAGATGATTGATAACTCGATCACTCACTCGTATTTGCCATAATTATTTTGATTTATCAGATAAAAGTATCAAACGTTGTAAATAATCACTTTCAATTTAAAATAAAACAAACTGAGCAATAACATAACCTTCAGAACACAGAAACTGAAAGCATCTGTAGAAATCAGGTTACCCAATGTCGTGTGCCATTGTTTCAACTACTAGGGCTACCTGGACTGTTTTCCCCTGCTTGAAATGGACTTGTCAAGTTCTTTCACTGTACAGGGTTTTTTCAAACTCGTATTTTGACTTATCAATTTATTGCTCTGTATAGTGATACTTCTAGAACCTATGTAATTAAAGCTAAAAAGTGGTATAAACAACGAAGAATATCAAAAATTTGTCTCATCAAGTTCTTGCCTTGCGGTCTTTAAATATGATTAAGAAGGTATCCAACATTTTCTTTGTCTGTATGAATATGCATTCCATTAAGTTCACTTTATGCCCGCATGGGCAATATTATATAGTTGATAACTAAACAATTAAAACACAATAATGAACTAGTATGACATAAAATAACTTTTAACTGCTTTTATAGTTCTAATTCTTCTTTAATAGCCAAATTCAAAAACACGCTGAAAAGCATATAAAGAAAGAAGAGAGAGCAGAAATCAGACATGAGCTTACTCAAGGATATAGAAACGAGACAGAAGATATCACAAGAACTTAACCACGAATGTCGAGAACTTAAAAACAGACAAAAGAAAAATTATGTACCAGAAGAATCCGATGACTTAAACTAAATATCGAAAGAACTTAAGACTGTATTTCTAAAAGCTAAAGACCACCTTAAATACACGAATCAAAGAGGTAAGAAACTATGGATAACTAACGAAATATCAGAAATGAAGTAATGTGAGACGACAACACAAGAAAGAACAAAGACTGGAAAAATATAAAGAATACAAAGAAAAAAACACAGTGGCTAGTAGAAACTTGCGAAGAGATAGAAGACCTATAGAATAAACATGATGATAGTCTTCTCCATAAGAAAATTAAGGAAATGTGTGGGATCAGAAACGCTAGGCAGTGTGGCACCATAACAAGCACGGATGATAGAGTACTGAACACAATAGAAGAAATAAGCGTTGAATGGCAAACATACATACAAAACCTATTCTCAGACGATAAAACAATAAATATTGATAGACAAAGAAACATCGAAAGTAACTATTTACCCATCTTAACATCAGAAATAAAATACGCCTTAAAAAATATAAAAACCGAAAAAGCCTCTGGACCTAACTGCGTTCATAGTAAAATTATACAACTTTTAAAAGAAGACAATTTAGAACTATTATCAAGACTTTTCAACAGTATATGAAATACTGATGACATTCCACAAGATTGGTTAACGTCTACGTTTGTGCCTATACCTAAATTAAACTACGGACAAAAAATATAACGACTTTCTATGAATAAGTCGACGACATTAATACAATACGTGAACTCTACTGGGACCAAAACGCCTCTGTCAGAACTAAAATGGGTGATACTGAAACCATAAACATCCAAAGAGGAGTTAGACAAGGTTTTATACTATCGACCATTATTATTCAACTTGTACTCAGAGGACATCTTTGCACATGTTTTAGATGAAGCACAAGAAGGAATAAAAGTCAATGGAAAAATCATGAACAATATCAGGTATGCCAATGGATACAGTACTGATTGCTGGCAGTGAAGAAGAACTACAAATTCTGTTAACCAAAGTAGTGCGAGAAGGAGAACTATAAGGCCTTAAGGTGAATGTAAAAAAAAAACAAAACAATGGTAATTTCAAAAAAAACACACACCAGTTATAAACATACTAGTCAACAACAATCTAGTTGAACAAGTGAAGAAGTTTAAGTATCTAGGGTGTTGGATACATGAAACCTTAGAAGAAGAAACAGAGGTTAAATGTAGAATAGAACAGACAAGAAACACATTCTTAAAGATGCGACAGTTACTCACTACCCGTAACCTTGATTTGTTCCTACGATACCGCATAATAAAGTGTTATGTATAAAGTGTACTATTACACGGTGTGAAAGCTTGGACATTAACAGTCAGCTCGTTACGACGTTTAGAGGGCTTTGAGATGTGGGTATTTTGTCGTATGCTGAAAATTCTATGGAACGACAGCATTAGAAATGAAGAAGTTTTAAGGAGTATGAATAGAGAACGTGAACTCACAGAAATTGTGAAAAAGCGTAAAACGTCTTATCTTGGACACATATTTAGACACGACAAGTATAACTTCCTTCAGCTTATTAAAGAAGGAAAATTTTTTAACAGATAAGTGAATGAGTAAATGAAATGAATTATCTTTTTCGGTATATTTTAAAAATAAGATTTACATTAATTGTTGTGAATAAACTTGAATTATAAATAAACAGTTTTTTCCTTATAATTCTATTCATCTACTGCAGTCTTAATTTTATATTAAAACTTCTATTGAAAACACTTTTTACAAGTCATTGTAATCTAACTTTTATCGTATACCTGTAGCCGGCAACACACCACCGTAACTAAAAATAAAGTACCTTAACTTAGGACATGCTCTCAACTGGTTACACGCTATCGCATAAAACAAACAAAAACTACAAGAGACTTACCTGAAATATACGTCCCAATGACACTTGTTTCAATTACAGTCGTTACACCATCCTTGACAACTGTACCTCCCAATTTAGTCACTAGTCCTGTGGGATGTTCACTTCTTTTAGCTGCAGCATTTTTCTTTACTTCGGTAGCTGGTCGATGTTTTAACAGGAATTTTGAGCTGGGTTTTAAATTCACGACTTTGAAAGTTTCTTCGACAACTTCTGACGGTTGTCTGGAGAGAAAGTCGTATTCAGGTTCTCCTAGACAGACAATCAGACAATCAGTATAAGTATTATAAAATTTTATTATTGAATATATTCTATTAATAGTAATGCTCACGCTTTAATAAAAATATAGTAACTACTTTTTTGAAGACGTTTACGATAGATACTTTATAAAAATTTTAACTCAAACTATATTCTGTTGTATTACTAAACAATCTGTCAAACACTCTAGGATTAGTAGAAGAAAACTGACCACTAAAAAACTTATTAAATAACCTAAGTTCAGTTAATATTTTTTTACCAAATCTAAATCCTATTGTTAAGGTTTGTTTACTAAGTAACGCCGCTAATAACCTGTTGGTACGTCTAGCAAATTTGCTATAATAAAAAAAATAAACGGAATATGTATTTATCAGTATTGTATTATATATGTATGAGATGCAAATTAGTCTTAAACGTAAAAATCAAAAAGTAGCGAAATTTTTATCACCAATTTTAAATAATATTGGTGCTAAGTATAGTCCTTTTCCATCATATTGATAGCACATTATGTATGCAAATCCTCAACAGAACAAAAAACCATAGGCGTCACCCTATACTTGCTTTGAAATAAATAAAAAAAATTAATATTTTAAGATGCCGTCAACAATTCATTATCTTTTAAAACATCTTCTGTAAAATAAGTGGCCACTAATCTCACTATACCTTTTGTGTCGTAAAAAACGTCGGTATATATGCCACACGATTATTTTTAATTATACACGGTGATTAACGAGACAATTCAATGATTCACGAAATAAATTAATGTAAACAGTAATTTAAAAAATGTACCTTTTTTGAACTAGTATCTGGAATTACTGATAAGGCTTCACTAATGATAGTTTAAGTAGTTTTTATGCCACGTTACAGCTTATGCCAATAATATAAATTAGAAATTGTTTGCATCTTTCATTTAGTTTGTAGATGTACATTGTTAAAGACCGTCCTACGTTTTTGGTGTCGATATTTTGTTATTTGCATTTAAAAATGACGTCGACAACAGGTTTTATCCGGTTAAGTGAAGTTTTAAAGGTGCCTTCTGGAGGCGCCTTTAAAACCTTTAAAGGAACTGTTTCATCTCCCGAGAAGAGTGGTGGGAGTAAATCCTCGGAAATTAAAGAAATACATAAAAACATGATAAGACGCAGCGTCCACTCATTTTTTTTTTAACAAAGAATTTCCAACATTGGACAAAATCCAAACATTAATTAGAGAAAACCAAGAGTTACCAATCATAAGCAACAAGAAATTATAGAGACTATTGAGAGAGATAATCGAATGGTTGAATAAATACGCAATTGAGTACAAGGAGAATTCGACAAAAAAGTAATTATTACCTATTGTAAAGCAACATAAAGCAGCTTATAAAAAATATATAATTGATTGAATGGCATTAAACCGTGAAGTAATTATTTTACATTTACCCTCATACCACTGTGATCTGAATCCGATAGAAAATATATGGTCTCAAGTAAAGGGTGAAGTCAAACGCAACAACAAAACTTTTAAATTAGAAGACTTATAACAATTATTAGAACATTCCTTATCAAAAGTAACTTCAGAAAATTGGAAAAATAGATTCTGAAGAAAGCAGTGAATCTGAAATGGAATTTGATTAAAATAATATTTATTTTGTTACAAATGGGCCCCTGTTACGGCCACAAATTATTTTAATCAATCACAAAATTAACATCTTACATTTCTGGCAAATTCATTAGTACCTATTAATCTCCATCACTCCGACACTGGAAACTTTATTTAGGGATTAGTAACCCTCAAAACTATTGTATTTTAACTTTGAGAATAAGGCTATTATCGAGCACAAGTTTATTAAATCTAGCCCAAGTACTTTCGCTTAAAATAGCATCTTCAGGGCATTTCGTCAAATGTAAACTATCCGGCAAGCGTAGAATGTGAAAACATTAAAAATAACATAAAATTGTACAAAACACTACACTAAAACGAGGACAAACAGTTTAAAATTACTTAAAGATTCTACGCTACATTCTCTGTCAGTATCTGGAGGGATAAAGGAGGGATTATCCTCCAGATACTGACAGAGAATGTAGCGTAGAATCTTTAAGTAATTTTAAACTGTTTGTCCTCGTTTTAGTGTAGTGTTTTGTACAATTTTATGTTATTTTTAATGTTTCCACATTCTACGCTTGCCGGATAGTTTACATTTGGACGAAATGCCCCTGAAGATGCTATTTTAAGCGAAAGTACTTGGGCTAGATTTAATTAACTTGTGCTCGATAATAGCCTCATTTTCAAAGTTCATTTATTCGAGCATTCAACCTCATTTCATTTATTGTATTTTATTCTGCTTCAACCTTTATACCTGGTGGTCATACTCAATTTAAAATTGTTGTCCTATATACTTCTGTAAACTTGTTGGCAAATATCTATTTTTCATTAAGTAACCCGTATTAACAGTTTAGGGAATTACATACATAATGTGCTATAAATATGATGGGAATGGACTATAGTTTGATGTCCATTAAAAATTATTGATCCAAGTTTAATTAATCAAAAATGGATTAATTTAGTTAAATTTTGTGTTTAGAATATAAAATACAGCACAAATTTAATCAAAATGAATATTTTGACATATTTGCGTTGACGTTGAGTTGATAATTCCCTAAGTGTTATTCTAAAGAACTTAAGAAGGTGCCCGTTCGCTATATTTTAGATTACGTCACTAAAATATCATAAAAGCCGTGAACAGTTCAATTAACCAAAAGTTTATTTTTAGCTTTTATGACATATACTGTGTATAAAGTTGATAAGTATTTAAACAAAACGTATACAATGAGATACAAACTTGGAATATTGAATATAAAAAAGAACAATATAAATGTAAGGCTCAATAGTTGCATATGCAACCAATAATAATCGTATAATAATTTCGTACAACGTTATAACAAAGATTAGCATATACAGTAAGTGACATTAGAAATATTACACACAGAAGAAATATTTTGTGAACTGAATATTTTAGACATGTTGCCTATAGAGATGTGAGTTTGTCGTATAGCGAAATTGGCCATGGTGTTAATAGTACAGCAATGAAGGTTTTGCATATGTGTCCTGTGTGGAAAACAAAGGTGAAGTAATACGAAGAAGACCAACAACTAGTCAAACGAGGCGTACTACAGAGTGTCAAGATTGTAGCATAATAAATTCCTTAACTCAAAGTATAACATTTATCTAGTACACCCCTGGGCCAAGTTTAAATATTTCCCTAATTCTCTGTTTAGATTGTGATGTAAAAGAAAACATTCCAAATTCCAGTTACCGCTGGAAGTAAAATAATTCATATATTATGTTTTAATTCTACAATTTTAAAAGTTGTTTGATTTAAGGTCTTTTTGCGATATCGTTTGAAGCGGTTTAGCAAGAATTTTGGTTTATTTAGTTGCAAGAACAGGTTAGAGGAGAAAAGTATGGCATAGGAGCCGGACTGTACATGGAAGGTCAAATAAATTTAAAATTGTGGTTTAAAAAGATATGCGATTAAAGCAAACGTCGTTTAGTTTGGTCGAAGGGAACCGGCCAATTTGTGAAGAAAAGTAATTTTTTACCCAATGTGATTTGTGAGCTCTGAACGAGTAATCACTGTTTTTTGTTTTTCAGCTTTCATATGAGATGCTTGTAAAACGGCGTTTGCAACAAATTTGAAAAATACCCACATGGTTCCAGTTTTTTAAGAAGCAAGCCAAGTGTTCCAGTACCACAACTTTCAATCTCAATTTTGTCTTGTCCTTCCACAGTTTAGAGATGAATTTGTTCGTGTGGCGGTGAATCTAACTCCAGTTCTTCCAGAAATTCTAAAGTTCAGTGAAGTCCAGTTACAAGATATTTAAAGTAAAGAAATTCAGGCAACGGTAACTTTTGTGTTAATTTTTAAGGAAAACTTTTATTATAATAATTAAAATTGTAATTTTTATGCGTGGCTACAGCTGTCATATAATTTATTACCAGTTTTAAAATTCATTATCGAGATATGACAGCTAGCACTATTTCTGACATCTGGTAAATATCTACTCATATTTGAGATTTTGTTTGTTTTTAGAAAAAAAGTTAATCTATATAAATAATGTCACTTAGAGATATCTTTTTATTTGTAATGATATATTCCTGCTACAAGTTATAGGCCAGTAACATTTGTAAGTTTTGCAGTATCTCCAACTACTAGAGTTTTAAACAGATAGGACATAGTAAGTTTTTCTTTTATGTTATTTTGTTATAAAGCTCTGTTACTACTAAATGGTATTAAAAAAAATACTAATAATGTAAAACAACTTTAAATTTAAAACATTCGAAGGGTTTTTACCCATGTATTTTGGTGGCTACTAGCATGTACAACCGTTTGCACTGATGATGAATTGTTTAATCCGAAAACGTTTGCAATGTTTTTGTGATAGCCCGTTGAGGCATTTTTATATACCTTTATAAAGGATTTTAAACAAATTTTTTTTGTAATATAGTATTGTTGTGCCATTTATATTTTAACTATTGTGGTGAGATAACAATATATGTTTAATTTATTTCTCTAAACCATTTTGTTTATTTATTTTAAAAAATGTTCTAACCTTTCTGTTGTGATTTTTAAAACAAAGAGACATTTTTTTTTTCATCATGCAGGAAGTTTCCTCGAAGCGGGGTCCATTTTAAATAGCTAGAGGTCCTTCTTGTTGTTTTGTTTGCCCATTTGTCCAGGAGACTCATGTAAATACTCTTTTGTTTCATTGTTTGTAGTTGCCCCAATCCAATTCCGTTGTTTTATTCACTTATGCACGACCTAGTTCTCCAAATAAACCCTGAGCACCGTTCGCATAAGTTTCGTTTATTTTACTTGCCCACTTCCACCCCAATAGTTCTGTCCCCAATATTTAATCCCCCATAATAATACCCTATGTGGTTGGCAAAATCTTTCGTCACAAGATAGGCGCTTTAGACTACTGGCTCTGCGATACCGTTTTGCTAATAAGCGTCAAATCGATGACCAATGGTTTGGAGTAAAAGATAAACTTGTTGACTGTGGACCACTGTTATCAACCTTTAAGTTAGAACAGAAAACGGTAGCATTGGATAAAAAAAATGGCATAATGTAGCATTTAGTGATGAATTGCGATTTTGTTTAGAAATGTATGATGGTCGTAGAATGGTAAGAGGCCGCTTGGGAGTGCGACGAGATATCAAGTTTGCTGTTGAGGGACATGTACACAGGACATTTGGAGTAATGGTTTGGAGGCTATTGTCTATGGGAGTCGATGACCAATTGTGTTTATTCGCAGCAGCATGACAGCTACGCTTTACGTTAGTAGCATCTTACAAACCACTTTACTGCCTTACCTAAACGGTAATCGATACGTCCTCTTTCAGCAAGACAACACGCGTCCCCATAGTTCTCGTCTAACTATGGTCTTTCTCTAAGAATCAGGCACTAATTTTTTGTCGCGGCCACCCCGTTTACCAGATTTAAATCCAATTGAACATGTGTGGGATATAATGGGAAACAGATCGTCCATTTTGCACCATCCTTCATATACTCTGGCACAGGTAATCGATAAAGTGCAAGTGCTTGAAATAAGGGACCACAAGCAGACATCGATCATATTATTTTGTCAATGCCTAGACGTGAATAGGAGTGTAAGCCACGCTGTCGCCAAACTCATTAATAATTGTTTTTTAATTACATGTCCTTGCCAACGTTATTGTTTAATTGTTGAAGTTAATCTATCGTACTGCTACAATATTAAGTTCAAGAAATGTATTCCTTTTTTTATGTAACACTTCTAATGTCACTGAGAAGGAAAAGATAATGAAAATCATCTGGCAGTAACAAAGTGAAAATATAGTAGAAATCACGGTATAACGATAATATAAATTATAAAATGGTAATATTAAAGTGTATACACGAATATATAATAAAAACAAACTCAACTCATAGCTAGTAAACATTTTAATTAATATAAATATACTTCCATTCTCAAATAATTTTTCTATTTTATAGTTATGTGCTTGGAGAATGTGCTCATTTGTAGTCGTAAGCCATATATTAAACTTTATTTTCCAATACAAAAATCGCATTAAACGCTACCGTAACAGTTTCAAAAGGATTAGACTACCATAACCATTTGTCGTAAGCTGTATTACAAGATTATCGAATAGTAGTTTCAGCTTATCTAATCCTTGCACGTCACTTACCAATGTTGTTTCCAATTACGAGTGCAGCTTCGTTATCCGATTTAACTTGAACAATACTGGATACGACACTGGATTCCGGCTCTTTACGTGATTCCACTTTGCTAGCAATTATCGGCTCTGCTAACTTCGTCGATCCGCCAACAATTTCAACTTTTGTTATAACGCTCTGAGTTGCAGATAGTTTGGTGGACGCAGCACCGTCAACGACCTGTAATATAATGAAGTTTTGCCTATATTAAAAGCCTCGTACGACTCGGTTTGTGCGGAAGTGATATCAGGTTATTGCTTTACGCTGTACAATTTTCGCACTTTATGAGTTTTGTCGGTTTTGTTTTGACTGCGACCTTACTGTCTATAACCGACCAATCGGTGAAACGAAACTTCGGAAATTATTCTGACGATGGCTGGTGGAAACCAAACAAAATCATTAAAGTTTGAAATTACAATATCCCGTTAATTAGAATTGCTAACTTCTATGAACAGTGCGAGATAAAATAACTTTTTGTAAATATTAAAGAAACTCTAATTTTTATATAACTTTTCCATGTCTATTAATCAAATCAGAATCCACGTGGAAAAATATGTAGTATATGAGAGACATATTCGTTACGCAACTACTTATTTAGTATTGTTGTTTTTTATGTTAATATATACTGTGTAATTGTGTTTCCAATATTGACTAGTAAAAAACACTGACTGGGAGAGCTTCAAAATAAACCTCGAACACAAAATGAATCTTGTTGTGCCATTGAGAAACACGAGGCAACTTAATGACGAATTAGAAGTTTTTATAAAAAAATATCCAACAGCTAGGCTTACAAAGATACTCTCATAATCAACTCCCGATTAAAAGGGAAAAACTAAGCAAAAAAAACCAGAGAACTCATAATAGAAAAAAGAAAGTTAAGAAAACAATGGCAGCAATGCAGAGCTCCAAGAGACAAAACTTCTCTAAATAATGCTACACAAAAATAAAAGAGAGATACAAGATATAAAAAATTTAACAATTGATTCCTTTTTAAGTAATTTAGAACCTGGCCAGAACAGATTATTCGTTGTGAAAGGCAACAAATAGAATAAAAGACAAATTATTCATTCTCCTTTTATTATGTTTAAAAACGCCAATTGGGCTAGAAGTAACGAACAAAAAGCTGAACGATTTGAAGATCAGTTAGAAAGCACGTTCAAACTCAACAACAATGATTGTGGAGATATAAAATTTAATAAGCCATTCCAAACCGAAAAGAGAATAACGTTAACAGCATTTAGAGAAGTACCAACAGAAATAAAAGAGAATATAAATCCTAAGAAAGCTGGAGGATATGATCTCATAACAGGAGAACTATTAAAAAATCTTCCAAGTGAAGCCATAGTTAAGCTGACACACAATAAATGCTGCTTTAAGATCAAGATATGTTCCCGAACTCTGGAAAGTAGCCGAAGTCATTATGATCGCCAAACCAGGTGAACCTGTTAATAAAGTGACATCCTATCGACCAATATAACTTTTTCCGGTGATGTCAAAACTATTTGAAAAACTTCTATTAAAAAGAATAAAACCTATTATAACAGAAAGAATAAATCTTATACCAAATCATCAATTTGGTTTTAGAAATGAACATTCCACTATAGATCAAGTTCACAGAATAACGAATATAATATAAAAAACATTAGAAGAAAAGATATTCTGCTCTACAATCTTCTTGGACGTGGCACAGGCGTTTGATAAAGTCTGGCATAAGAGTTTAAACTATAAACTGAGAACGTTTATGCCTAAATAGTATTTAGAAATATATAGAATTATACATTACAAATAGATATTTCAGAGAAAAGCAAGAAGAAGTGTACACTGATTTAAGTGAGATCAAAGCTGGCGTGCCACAAAGGAGTGTATTAGGTCCGTTTCTGTACCTATTGTATACGTGTGATATTCCAGAGCTAGAACAAAACAATATTGCCAAATTCGTACATGATACAGCCATACTAGTAATGGGAGACACTAGTGAAGAAGCGACTAATAAGTTGCAACTATCAGGAAATACAATACATACCTGGACCAGAAAATGGCGAATAAAATTAAATGAGACTAAATTTGCACACATTAACTTTACAAATAATAAAAAAGAAAATTTCCCAGTTAGAATAAATGATACCCATGTTCCTTATGCATTATCAGAAAAATACTTTAGCACCACCCTAAACGCGAGGCTTCGCTGGAAAGTCTATGTCAAAAAGGAAAGAGGGGAGCTTGATATTAGATGTAAGAAATTATATTGGCTGATTGGAAAGAATTCAACATTATTCATTATCCAAGATTCATAATAAATTATCCATTTACAAGCAAGTACTAAGGCCAGTATGGATATATTGGTGCCAACGCTGGGGATGTACCAAAGCTAGTAATCTATATACCCAGAGATTTCAAAACAAAGTACTGAGGAACACTATTGATGCTTCTTGGTATATCCATAACAGCTACCTCTACCAGTATCTGGGTATGGAAACTGAAGTAATCAAGAAAATAGCAGCAAGTCACGAGCAGAGGCTGCATAGTCATGTAAATTTCAAAGCAATCCAGCTTCTTGACAATACTGAACTAAAGACAAAATTTATAAGGACATAACCATTTGAGTTAGTGTAAATGTGTAACTTACATAAATGCCTACCACTCAATAAACTACCATTTCGCTATATCAGAGATTATTAAAGTTTTAAGATTAGTAAGGAGCATCATATATCTCAATCAATTAAACATCATTAAGATTAGTACAAACAGCTTCTGACAGCTCCAAACTCCAGAGTCTGACATAAGGAGCTGAAACTGGAGCCAGCCGCCCAGCCCGCTTGGCTATCCGAACGACAGATAAAAATTATATCGGCAAACAAAAGGAGACCAGGTTACGGGTCTCGTCTTGGCGAGACTACAAAACATAAACACAATAAGCTTCAGCTTTAGCTAAGAGAATAAAGAAGATCTCTTGGATGAGACCGGCCCAGGAAAAAATTTATCATTCTGTTACGTAACAATAAGTCATATTAAAAAAACCTGTAAACATGTTTATTCACTAATATGTTGTAGATTCTACAACAATTCTGAATTCTGAAACGGTCGCTCCACTACGATTCGAAATTTCTCCAGAAACCGGTCGAATGATGACCCAGCCTAGTATAATCCGTGGGATTCGCCTAAACTTTCGAATAGCTATATCTTCATATATAATAACGGAGCTTTTATTGTGGCCAGCAGTTAGAAAAGCAAATCGCGAACGGGTAGTTAAATGTAACGGTAGTAATAATAAATTATTGTAAAATAAATTATTATAAATAAACTTTAAATAAATTAAGTTTGTAAGTGTTATAAATATTGAACCTTTAGTAAATTAATTTAAGAACAATAAATTAGAATTAATAAAAACATTATAATACACTATTTTATTTTATTTAAAAATGTACAATTCACATCAACTACTATTATTATTTTCCATTATATGTCAAAATGCGATTAACCATGTCCTCTAATAACTACGGTATCTGTAAATTCCTGTCCATGCGTTTATTTTTAATGGATATTGGATATATGTTTCGATGTTAAATGTTTTAAAACACTCCAATTTTCATCAGCCCAATAACAGCAATATTGTCGAGTATTGTGATTTTCTTATGTTGTTTTGACTCTGATCTTACTGCTTACAGTTGAAGGAACGGTAAAAGAAACTTTGTAAATTATTTTGACGAGCTACAAGGGAGACTAAATAAACGCCCCGTTGTTTATTTGTTTGCATTAAAAGTTTGTCGGCATTACAAATACAAGAAAATAAAGTATCATTTTAAAACTTTATTACACAGTAATTTTGTCTGCCTTGTGTAATGTTTTTTACACGAGCGTCAAAGTCCAACGGGCTAAATTTAATTTACAAAATAAACACTACAGCCCTGATTTATACTATTTGTGAAGCTCTTTCACAAAATTATTATTAATATTTGTCGTATTTCTACTCTATCTTATATTATCTATTAAAGATAAAGATAAAATTATTGATTATCAATGTGTGCTTTAGTCCTATCTGTATCTGGATACTACTATTATCGGAGTCATAATTTTGTTATATGTCCTGTAATTCCTTTTCTCTTATCGTTATCAATTCTACATCGTCAGTAAATATACACTCATGAACAATCATTGTTACTTAGTTGTGTTCTGAAGCTATTTTCTCGTGGCATTTTAAATTAATTGGCATTTAAATGGGAATAAGTCATAAGTAAAGGTTAAATCAAAATACAGAACGATTCCCGAAGTGGAAATTGAAACGTCAATAAACTTAACCTTTAATTGTGGCTTACTTACATTTAAATAGTACATAACTGTTTCAAGATTTTGCCAATCTATTATAACGGTTTAGTTCCCTGACTTTTTCTTTATTCCATACATAAATATTATAAATAACAAGGAATTTAGACCTCATCCCTTTGTCTCTCTTTCTTTGGCGTTGAAAATTTCTGATCTTATATATTGATTTTGACACAGTTTAGTTTATAAATAACTTTTATACGTCTTATAACGTTATGATTAATATTCGTACTAGATAAACATTTCCGCATTTTAGTGGCAATATAGCAAAACCCTCCTCCATATCCACAAATCCCAGGTATACCTTTTACCTTTATTTTAAACTCTTATAATACTCTTATTAATCAATCAATCAATCACCCAGCCTTTTGCGTCCACTTCTCGTAATAGCCCTCCCTCATTTTTGTTACTGTGCTCGATATTGAGCAATTTTCATCCAATTTCTTGACATTTTCTTAAGACCGTCAGTCCAACAAGTATAAAGTCTTCCTCTACTTTTTTTGTCTAACCTTGACCTCCACTCAAGCAATCTCTTCACCCACCTTTCATCACTGATTTGGTCGACGTTTCCGCCCCAGATCCATTTCAGTTCTAGTGTGGCAATTCAGGAAATTACATCGGTAATTCCTGTTCTTCGTCTTAAGTCTTCATTTCTAACCCCGTCACAAAGCGATATACTCTTGTAGCGATATACTTTCGATAACTTGTAGCTGTCAATGTCAAATTTTCGACACCATATTTCATCACAGGCTACATACATTGGTCACATGTTTCACCTTTTAAAGAAATTGGTATATCACTTTTGAAGATGTTTTTGAAAGATATATACGTAACAAAAAAAAAATCATACGATTTCTACCTGGCGAAATCAAATTCAAATATAAGCCACTGTGCTTCCTAAAACTTGCGAAGCAAACAGCTTGATGAATAAATCAGCAAGGGAATCAAAGATTGCACTCAAAATGCCCTTCATCATGGCCAATATTTGTAGTGAATATAGATAAAGATATATGTATTTTTCCACCAGCTCTACTTCGTTGTCTTCAATATTGATATGTCCGCTAGGTACTAGGTTTAATATGAATTTTGTTTTGGAGATATTTATTTTAAGACTAACACTAGCACACACTATCTGAAGTGTTCATGTAGCATTGTACATATCTCCTTGAGGTTGTCCGAGAACAAAACTATGTCGTCTGCGAATTTTCAATTTGTTAATCTTCTACTTTACTTGTTCAATTTTTAAAAGCATATTCTAGTACTGCGGTAAACAGTTTAGGCGATACGGTATCACCCTGTCAGACTCCCCTGCCGATTGGGATATGATCCGTGTTTTCATGTAGTTTCATCGACATAGTTGTAGTGTTTCCAGGATTTTGTCAAATTCTACAGTGTCAAAGGCTTTAGGGAAATCTACAAAAACAGAACGAGTGATTGATTGTATTCGATAGTCTTTTTTATTATCGTTTTAATACTCTGTAGATAATGAGTTGTTCTAAATCCAGTACGAAATCCCGTTTGCTCTAATGGCTAGCAGAAATTAAGTTTTTTCTCAAGACCATTCGTTACTATTCTTGTAAGGAGTTTGTATACGTGACTAAGAAGACTTATAGATCTGTCGTTTTCTAAGTCATGGGATCTCCTTTTCTGTACAATAGGATTGCCTCAGCATTGTGTCATTTGTCGGGCATACTACTGTCCATAAGGCACATGTTAAAGAGGTTTTTAATTTTTTTGAGTAGGGAAGTGCCTCTGACTTTTATTGCATCAGTAACTACACAATCTTCGACTAGAGGTTTGTTATTGTTAGCTTTTCCTAGGGCTGGTTTTATTTCGTCCATTGTGATTTCTGGTAGTAGTTCTGATCCTTGGTTGATAATACCCTTTTTCCTTGTTAATGTTTCTGGTACTTGATCTTCTCTGCTATTTGCTTTGTGTTAGCTTGTATACAGCAATTTGTAGAAGTCTTCAACTATTTTAAGGATTTCCTCTCTTGTAAGATGATTATTTCTATCTTTAATCTTTATTATCTGTCTTGTCCCCGTTCTTAGTCTTTTTCTCAATACTTTCATACTTCTATTGTTCTCAGTGGTATGTTCGAATTGTTCTTGGTTATATTTTTGAATATCTAGTCTAACAGCTTTGATTATTTCTTTATTTAATTTTTGTAATTCGTCGGCTTAAGTTTCGGTCTTGCTTCTCATTTATCTTCTTTTCTGCATTAGTTGCCTAGTATTTTGCCTGATCTTCTCTTCTTTTTGAGTTCTAGGACAGAATTTATTTTGATTTTCCAGTTAAGTATTTGTTAATTTATTATTTAAATCGTTTATATTATTTTCAGTATTAGGACTACTAAGTATGTATTAAATACTCCTATAATACTTTTTAAAAACATATTAAAATGTCTATGTTGGCTCTTTTAAATTCGGCTTCTAATTTTGTTTTCATTCCTTCGAGTTTCGTGAGTCGCATGTTCACTTTCCTAGTATATCATTTTTCTTAGCACATTGTTATATATCTCCAATTTAGAATTCTTTTTCGTTTTTTATTATCTTTATTAATTATTATTACCTTTTTGATCTTACTTAGATTAACACTATTGTTTTCTTTGTGTTTTAGGTCCTGTCATTTTTGACTTGATGTTTCTTTGGCTTTTTTTGGTTTGTCTTTTAACGATTGTACTGATTCTATTTTAATCTTATTTGTTATCTTATTTAATCTTCTCTCTTTTATCAGCTGTAGATTTTCTTTGACCACTTAATCCTTTTATTTTCGTTAATTAACTTTTTCCACGACTTTTAATTTAGTTTCTTTTGCTGTTTGTATATTCCTCCAAATATCATCAACAAATGTAGTGTGTATTTGTTGTTTAATTCTTTGCATTTTTTGGCAAGTTTTAAATATATTTAAAGACTTTTATTGTTATCTTCTAGGATGTCAAGGTTAACTTTATTAGGTTCAATGTGGTCCTTAAATTTTTTGCAGTATGATTCTTGAGTTGTGATTAAAAAGGATATTTGCTTCCAGACAGGTTTTAAAAGATTTTATGGCATTTGGGAATAAATTATTACTCAAGATTAGACCAAATTAATTTCATACAATTATTTCTGGGCTGTTTAGAGACTTAACTGGAATTCTAACTGGAAAGACTTCCCAGTATATAGTCATCTTGAGATGATATCTAAATATTAGTAACTATTTATAGTTCCTCTTGATAAACCTAAAGTAGGCGTGCGCCACTTTCATTCCTTTCTAAGTCTTATAACAATTTTCCAGCCAGTATAAAACCAATTTGGTCGAATAATTTTTTTTTTATTGAGTTTAATGCGTCGACAACTAATGGTCATTGGCATGGTACAGTGAGTTTTTACAGTCAGGTATCTAGTGTAGTGTGTGTGTGTAGGTGTAGAGTAATTGTCTTGATACTTAGCAAAATCGACGTCATTGTCTTTGCTAAGAGACGCTAATTGTATCCCAACGTCTGCGGTCCCTCCGGTGTGTACGGATCGCACAAGGATAGAAATTGTTTTCATTTATTAATTTTTAATAAACGAAAATTTCTCCACCCAGATGAGATTCGAACTCACGACCTTTACGTTCAAAGGTAGGCGCTCTTACCACTGAGCAACAGAGGGGGTATGAATAAAAAATTAAAAAATATAATATAACATAATATTGGTTGACATTTAACTGTTTTGGTAACAGAAATATAAACATTGAAAAATATTTTTACACTAGTTTTAAAATAATGCTACATTAGTAAAAATTAATACTTTCCTCGACTTTGCTGCTAAAAATAACAGGGGCTTTATTAACAGTTGATTTTGGTTTCTCAGCAGCCTTCGGTACAGCTGAGGGTTTAACTTCTTTTTTGGAAGATGGTTTTATCGTCGATGCAGGTTTTGCTGTTGATGCAGGTTTTGGTGGATCAGATTTGACTTGTACTACTGAAACAACCTTCTGCGAAGACTTTTTGTCTCCAGATGATTGAGTCTTGGTGGGCTTGATTTTGATTTCATTTTTTGATGTAATTGGTTTGGTTTCTATAATGTTGTTCGATGCTATTTCATTCGACGACGATTTTACTTCTAAAAAGAGAAAAACATATTTAAATATATATATTATATATATATATATAATATATATATATATATATATATATATATATATATATATATATTATAAACGTATTTAAAGTAGCAGCTTAAAACATGTTATTTATACATTACCGACGGATTAACTGTTTTCTATATCTAAATATTTCTTTCTATACATATTTTCTCATCCTAGTTATAAGGATCGTAAGTACCACATAAGTACCTGATGTTCTAGTCATACAATGTTTATCGCGGTATATAAATTTAGCATCCAATTATATTATAATAAATCGATACAATGATATATCGTAGCACCAAACGTACTGAAGAAGTTAAAACCAGGAATTAGAGTATCTAATGGGACACAATAGACTTTTTACTCTTATTTCTCTTATTCATTAAAAGGTTACAAATTGAACTTAATGTATATATATATATATATATATATATATATATATATATATATATATATATAAATATATATAGAGTTTGTGTAACGACGCTAAGAATACAATTCTTTGGAGGATAACTTTCGGGAAAACGTCAAAACAAGGATCAGCTAGAGATGGTATAAGCCAGTTTGGTGTAGAACTTTATTCTAAATATGAAATTTTCGGTGATATGTTGTCACCTTCATCAGCACCTAAATGGAAAACCTATTTTAGTACAAGTGGTGGAAATTAACATATAAAACCTACATTGAAAATGTTCAGTTGGTCCTAGAGGTGAAGAACACTGTCACAAACATGTTAAAAATATTAAAAAATACATTTAAAATTTTGAATAAAAACATTACAACACAACAGGGTATTATTTAAAATACAAACACAACAAAAATCTAAAAATTACAACCTACACAAAAACTGCAACTTCATGTTAAAAGTAAAAAAGAAGAATTATTCTTCTTTTTTGATGACATTTCTGACTTCTGTCAATATCCGGGTGGCATATGCAAGGAGGTTATAATTTTCATGTTAGAACCTCATGGATATGGATATGGAAAGAAAGAACCCCAGGAAACACAATCAGCCGGGAAATGGAGTCTTTTCTCAAGTACAGGTAGGATCAGTGATCAGTACATGGAATAGAATACACTACATTGAAGTTATCCAGTTTTTTAACTCTTTCTGTCAGGTGAGTATTAGGGACATACTTTACTCACCTGACAGAAAGAGTTAAAAAACTGGATAACTTCAATGTAGTGTATTCTATTCCATGTGGTTCCTGTTCAGAAGTGTATGTCGGTCAAACCAGCCAGAAACTCTCAAAAAGACTAGCTTTGCACAAGAGTGATGTAGTGAGGAAACCCACCTGCACAGCCTTTAGCCAAAATATTAAGAATACTGGACACATTGCTAACTATGAAAATGTGCAAGTACTAAAGAGGGTTGACAACCAATTTAAGAGAAACTTCATAGAAATGTGCTACATCCATAACTGCAGTTCTTCTATGAACTGTAAGAAAGATGTTGAAAACTTAAGTTGTATTTATTCATTTCTACTTCAACAGGACTTGACAAGATGTAACAAACTGGAGAATGTAGGGAACTTATCATAACATACATAGATTGCCTACCTGTACTTGAGAAAAGACTCCATTTCCCGGCTGATTGTGTTTCCTGGGGTTCTTTCTTTCCATATCCATATCCATGAGGTTCTAACATGAAAATTATAACCTCCTTGCATATGCCACCCGGATATTGACAGAAGTCAGAAATGTCATCAAAAAAGAAGAATAATTCTTCTTTTTTACTTTTAACATGAAGTTGCAGTTTTTGTGTAGGTTGTAATTTTTAGATTTTTGTTGTGTTTGTATTTTAAATAATACCCTGTTGTGTTGTAATGTTTTTATTCAAAATTTTAAATGTATTTTTTAATATTTTTAACATGTTTGTGACAGTGTTCTTCACCTCTAGGACCAACTGAACATTTTCAATGTAGGTTTTATATGATAATTTCCACCACTTGTACTAAAATAGGTTTTCCATTTAGGTGCTGATGAAGGTGACAACATATCACCGAAAATTTCACATTTAGAATAAAGTTCTACACCAAACTGGCTTATACCATCTCTAGCTGATCCTTAATATTGTTCTGAAGCTATTTTCTTGTGGCATTGTAAATTAATTACTATTAAACTGGGAATAAGCCACAATTAAAGATAAAAATACGTTTATTGACGTTTCAATTTCCACTTCGGAAATCGTTCTCAAAATACAAACAGTAAATTAAACAAATTTTGTTTTTTGTTACATAGTGAAAAATTCTTCTAATAATTTAATTTTATCTGACTCATTTATATTGACAATTCAGACATACATTATGCATTTTAAAGTAGACGACTTTAAAATGATATTGCCAATATTGTTGAGTTGCGCTCCTGGGACGACTTTACTTATAAGATAGTTCATTCGATTACATGAAATCAACTTTAACTTGAGAATATCCGTCAGAAAAAAATCATAGCATGTAATTCGTCTTTAAAAAGACAAACACATGACATGATGACAGTAAAATTCTCCTGTTAGTGATTCCATAGTAAATTATGAGGGAAAACCAGGAAAAAAACCTCATAATACTATCCCGACATTGTAAGTATTTGTTCGTGAATTTAGTTTACCTTCAACAAACATCAAAATTCTGATTTTATATGTTAGGTTATTTAAAAAACATAAATGATGTATCCTTTATATGTTACTGACTTACTAATACTGGTATTTTCTTATTAATAACTTCTAATTATGTTAAATGAGGCCAATTGTGTCGCAAATTCTTCGGCAGAATGTAGTAGGATCTGGTTACCAATATTGAAAGAGGAAGTTATTAATAAGAAAATACCAGTATTAGTAAGTCAGTAACATATAAAGGATACATCATTTATGTTTTTTAAATAACGTAACATATAAAATCAGAATTTTGATGTTTGTTGAAGGTAAACTAAATTCACGAACAAATACTTACAATGTCGGGATAGTATTATGAGGTTTTTTCCTGGTTTTCCCTCATAATTTACTATGGAATCACTAACAGGAGAATTTTACTGTCATCATGTCATGTGTTTGTCTTTTTAAAGACGAATTACATGCTATGATTTTTTTCTGACGGATATTCTCAAGTTAAAGTTGATTTCATGTAATCGAATGAACTATCTTATAAGTAAAGTCGTCCCAGGAGCGCAACTCAACAATATTGGCATTATCATTTTAAAGTCGTCTACTTTAAAATGCATAATGTATGTCTGAATTGTCAATATAAATGAGTCAGATAAAATTAAATTATTAGAAGAATTTTTCACTATGTAACAAAAAACAAAATTTGTTTAATTTACTGTTTGTATTTTGAGAACGATTTCCGAAGTGGAAATTGAAACGTCAATAAACGTATTTTTATCTTTAATTGTGGCTTATTCCCAGTTTAATAGTAATTAGCTGATCCTTGTTTTGACGCTTTCCCGAAAGTTATCCTCCAAAGAATAAATATATATATATATATATATATATTATATATATATATATATATATATATATATATATATATATATATTTATATATATATATATATATATATATATATATTTATATATATATATATATATATATTTATATATATATATATATATATATATATTATATATATATATATATATATATATTGATTTTTATTTACATAGACTGTTAACCCTTTATTGCATAATGGACCCAAATGGGAACTCAATATATAAATTTTCCATGAGTACCTATTTGCTAGCGACAATTTTAAGCTCATACACATCTTATTCTCTCTTGTGAATGTTTGTTCTTAAATGTGTATTGTATATTGCTGATATACCCATCGGTTGTTTAAATGAATAGCAGTTTTGTTTGAAGTAACCTCTTAGTAGTTTGTTTGTGTAACACGTGTAGTTTATTTTCGAATATTAGCTAAAGAGGTAAATTGGTAAATTATATCTGCGTATATAAGTGTTTTGATGAATTATTAATACTAGTATATGAAAATATATTCTCACAATGTTAAGTAGTTTTATTTAAAAAAGTTGGTGAACTTTGGGATACCGATTTAAGGCTTACAATATTTGCAACTTCTTCAGACCTTAGTACGATCTTTTTATTTATATTAAAAACTAAAGGATGTCATATGAAAGAAAGCTCTATAAACCAAGGTACTTCTGAAAACTACATTCCTTGTACTACTAAATTTTAAGATAATTGTAAAATCAGAGAGAATATCAAGATTTTATTATTATTTTTTTAAAATAAAAAAAGGGCAGCAAATATTTGATTTCACGCAAACAAATCGTATGTATCTGTTGATACGTATTTCGACCTAATAGGTCTCATCAGAACAGCTATTCATAGGAGTTCTCAACGTGAAAAATCAATATTTTCTGCCTTTTAAGAAGCAACAGTAACATGGCTTCAATACGGACGCGCTAGCGACATCTAATTACAAAATCCGTAAAATAGTTTCGAAACACAATTCAGATTTCTGCTTATAATCTGAGCCTTCTAAAAATTGCATGGCAAACAGACGTTGATAAAAGATTTTAAAAGGGACATGGGGAATCTAAACTTTGCATTCCACGACATGTCTTTTACAACTAAGCAGAAATCCTTAGCGAATTGTGCTTCTACTACTCACACAGAGTAAATCCGAATAAAGTAAAAAAAGGCAGAAAACAAATGCGTGAAATCAAATATTTGCTACATTTTTTCATTTTATTCGGATTTACTCTGTGTGAGTACTAGAAGCACAATTCGTTAAGGATTTCTGCTTAGTTGTAAACGACATGTCGTGGAATGCAAATTTTAGATTCCCCATGTCCCTTTTAACATCTTTTATCAACGTCTGTTTACCTTGCAATTTTTAGAAGGCTCAGATTATAAGCAGAAATCTGAATTGTGTTTCGAAACTATTTTATGGATTTTTTATTATTTTTTTATTTATACTATATATTTTGTCTTCGGCTGTTGTGGCACAAACGTTAAAACAAA